GTACCTTCTACAGCAGCATTGTTTTCCTTTTCTTCTTCCATTCATTTACTTTCTCTTTATCCAAATTCTGTATTTTCTTATCTGTGTTTTCTTCACAAAATTCTTCCGATTTTATCTGTTCTTTTATTCTTCTTGTCTATAATGATAGAAAATACAACATCTCTTGACACTATCACCTTCCTTTTCTCGTGATCCCATAGTCTGTTTCCATTAGGAGCATATCCTATAAATGTTAATTTTTTACTTCGATAGCCAAGTTTCTTGAAGTAACCGAAGACTTTGGCGTGTGCTTCACAACCAAACATGTGCAGATGCGATAGATCTGTCATTTTTCGGTAGGTATTGTGTCTACAGTCTATATGGGACTTCTATATAGAAGATATGCAGCCACATATATTGCTTTTCCCCATTTACCCATGCTTTTCATTTCTTTGTTCAAGTTAGAATAAAAAATGAGAGCTCTGGCCTTTTATAATAATGTTCTGTTTAACCTTTGTGCTCGTCCATTCAATTGTGGTATGGTATTCTGTAGTCTAGTATAATTCCTTTTGATTTACACCAATGTCTTATCTTATCACCGACATATTCTCTACCATTGTCACAACGTAATTTTGATACTTTCAGATTCATGTACGCTTATACTTGAGTGACACATTCTCTGATATATTCGAACACACTTCACATTTATTCTTGAAAAGATATACCATATAAAACTGAGTGAAATCATCCAGCATGGTCAAAAGGTATTTCTTTCCATTCCACGTGTCAATTGGAATGTAAATTGCATTCCGGTTCAATTGGACCGCATAAATCTGTATGTACAGTACGTACAGTACTATCTCAAGAGATCTTGTGGCTCTCCGACGCTTACTCTTAAATGGGAGTCTGGTTTGTCCTGCTTTTAAACATATTTCACAAACTGAATTATATGAGTCACAATCAGATTTAGTCAAATTCATTCCAATTGACAAATCGATTATTTTTTTTTCATATTACTTACACCCAAGCGCCCTCAGTTGTCAGCATTCATTTCCTCTGTCAGATGCACCTCTTCTTAATTCAACCTTATAGCGTACATTCCATTTTCATCCTTTGTTCCTTGGAGAACTTTTATACTGTCATTTGATATAATAACATTTTCCATTGTAAAAGTAACTTCAAAGTTGTTATTTGTGATTTAATTAACGGATAATAAGTTTCTACTCAAATTAGACACATACAGCACATTATTCAACACCCAGTTCCTATCTTCGACTTTGCCAACTCCTTTAGCAGTCATCAATTCGTTTTCCTTTGTAACAGAAATATTTGTTTCAATTTATTCCAATTTATTAAACAGATCCATATTGTTGCACATATGCGAGGATGAAGCAGAATCGACTAGAAATACAGTTTCTTCTTTATTTTTCCGATCAGTTGAACTCTCACACAAAAATGATACTTTCTGTTGCGATTTATTTTGTAACTTATTTCTGAAGAAACAGTTTTTCTCCTTGTGATTATCTTTCCCACAAGTACAAGATCTACTATAGTAGTACCATTCTTCTGTTTGTCCAAAATAACATTTGTCATTACTGTGATTAATGTACGAGAAGACTCTTAACAATTGTCGATATTATGTATTTTTGCGTTTTAGCATCTTTCATTGCCCAAACTGCCTTTTCTTTATCATCCTTAAATGTCATTGTCGCAGTCTAATGACTATATCCATGATACCAGCTTCCTTCAGAAATATCGTTGTCTGAAATTTCCATATTGTAAAACTCCCCATATCTCTTACATTTTGAATATTTGCTAGATTGTCTTCGGCAGCCATTTTGCTCTATATCGACACCTAATAATTGTATCAGCGATCATAATTCTAACTTTTCATTAAATTAACAATTACAATATTTAATTTTTACTTACTGACAACCTTTTGTTATTGTTTTAGTTTTTACTGCTGTATCCTTGACCCATAACCTGAAAGATCGACAAGACAGCATTTAGTCTTTTTTAAGTTTTTTGTTAACTGTCTAGATTACTTAACAACCACGTGATCCTTACACTCAGTGTTGCGAAAGGCTTATATACAAAATTTTATCATTTTTTTTTTACCGGAAAGATTTTATCGGATTGAAGAGACGTTCACTAAATCAACAAAATTTTATAATTGTTATTTTTTAACACTAATTTCATTGAAAATAATAGGCAAGGCCAACAAAATAATTTCGCATTTTTATGCATCCACAAAGCTGTTTTATCGTGAAAATGTCGAATAATTTTTTTTCTTGAAGTATTTATATTTAATTTAGGTATTAGCCTTTTTCTTTTAATAATTTTTTTTCATTATATGGTATTGAGCCAACACTTTTAAAAATAAATTTTTAATATCACGTCCTTATATCATGACTTCGGTCCTTATATCATGACTAGCAATTCAGAATTATTCTGAATCGCTAGTCATGATATAAGGACCGAAATTAAAAATAAAATTATGAAAACTTACTCGATGAAATAAAATGTTCGGTAGATATTCGCGTTTTTCACCGGATGCTCGCCCTCTGGTGTTTAAAAACAGAACTACTCTATCTGGGTCGTTCGAATGTTCTTCGTATATTGTCAGCAGTAAAGATGAATAGTAAAAGTAAAGCTTTCTGTTGTGTTCCAAATTGTAATTCCAAAGCCATACGCGATCCCGATATAAGTTTTCATGTATTCCCACATGAAAAACAGATGATTTTTCGTAAATCAGAATTCGGAGAATCTCAGAAATGTAACCGACGGAAAGAGTGGATTCGACTGCTAAGAATTGGAAAAAAAGTTACGAAGTATATGGTAGTATGTTCGAAACATTTTACTCCTGAAGATTATATTTTGTCATGTAAGTATGCTATCGTGTTTTTATAAATATGTTTAGATTATTGTAATTCGATAGTATTAAAAAATCAAACTGAAAAAGATTGCATAGAGTCTAA